CGTCTCCCACTAGCAACTTTCCCTCGAGGGCGGCTAGCATCTTCTTCTAACCACCGATATGGAGATTGACCAATTAGCAGCAACGCCAACTTCCCTTACTTTCTGAACGAAGGCTTTCCTCGACGAATCCGATGATCTCATGTCCTTATACACACCCCAATATAGTTTTCCTCTGTGGCATCATCGGGACGGGAAAGTCATTCTCTCGCGCGATCTCATGGATTAAAGAGTAACATCTTCGCGATCAGTGGTTATTTCACGTTTTAACCAGACTTAGGCTTTGTGAGTACGTTCTTTTGTTATCCCGTTGGCCGCGAATTCGTTATTGAGCCCGAAACCATCGTCACTAGTGTCGCGAGTGCCGAACCGCCGTGATTAATTGTCAAGACTGTAATAATTCTATCATTGCAATAAACTACGCCTGTGTGTACCGTACCAATGGCTAATTCTCGAGAAGATTCATTGGACGCCCACAACCCTACTCCCAGCGCAAATGGCTAATTCTCGAGAAGATTCATTGGACGCCCACAACCCTACTCCCAGTGCAAATCCGACATATATAATGTTCAATTCTCGGATAATTCAGGGATCGATTCTTAAGTCTGAAAATCGAGTTTATTGTAACAATACTTAAATAAAATACAGAGGTAAATAACAATTAATGATAATTAATAACAATAAATAATAATAAATAACAAAGCTTTGTACAAGGTCTACCTGAAAATCGAGAATCGATTTTCCACATCCTAAACTACCACTCTTCCTCTGTCAATCTTCAGTACTCTAAATACTAATTTTTCTCTTATGATTGTGTCTATTTCTAACGCTCGAAATCCTTCTTCTTCTCTAACCGTTCGTCTGTGAAATGACTGTTTGGCAAATCGGTTGTCTGTAACAACAAATAAGGTCACACTATCCGTTAAACAGTGATAGTCCCTTTGTTTATCCGCGTTTGAACTCTTAGGGAGTTTACGCCTCACCTCCTCGTGTTGACAATTGCATCGCTAATTGTCCTTTTCATAGGGGACTAGTTTACTCGCATGGAAGAAATTCCCTCCAGATTTACGATTACCGTTATCCACTTCGTACATAGAATTTGAGATCCTTCTCAGAATTTTGAAAGGCCCTTTCCGGATTTCCTCTAACTTATTTCTATTTAATTTGTTCCCGTTGTGAGTGAAGACCATATCGCCAATTTTAAATTCATGCTCTCCTCTTTTTTTATCATATTTTTGTTTGTTAATTTCGAAGTTTCTTATTGAGTTTTTAAATGCTTCTTCTCTGTCTCTTTCTAAGTCTGTCTTGTTCTCATTTATTCCTTTAGGAACGATTTAAATTCTTTTCCCGTACAGTAAGTAATTCGGAGCAAATCCTGTGACACTGTATCTGGGTGTCATTGTATTCTTCCACACTTTCTTTTGCGATTTTTGTCTAGTTTTTCTTTTTTTTTGTTTGAATTAATTTTGCATCGGATCCTGTTTACTAGTGTTTGGTTTACTCTTTCGTTCAATCCGTTCGAGGATGGACAGTCTGTCGTGGTGAAAATTAGTTTGATGTTCTTTTTCCTTGCGTATTCTTGGATTTCTTTGGATGTCAGTACTGGATATCGTTCTGCGAGGATCATTTTTATAGAGTCGATTTCTTCCATCGAATCTATAAGTTTTGTTATATCATCTGAGCGTTGTGTTTTTGATGTGGGCATAAAAACGGTCCTTGAAAAATGGTCAATAAGAATGACATTATTTCAAACGGTTTCTTAGCTGGTCCTAGTTTTGACATAAATCCAATCAGTCTTCTCGTTCTGCTTTTATTCTTAATGCAGATTTCGCATTGTTTGCAGACTTTGTCGACTATCTGATCCATATTTTTGAAGTAGTAGAAAGGTCGGGTTTTCATTAGTATATGGTTCCTTCCAACGTGACCGAAGAATTCATGAACCTTCTTTGTGATGTGTTCGCCAAAATTTCGTGAGATGAATATACGTTGACGCCCTTTAATATTTTTGAAAAATATTTCTGACTTTTTGTGAGGTTTTTTGTATTTTTAATGTTTTTTTCGTTTTCTCCTGATCTTGAATTATATCCTTCTTTGTAATAATATTCACCACTTTCAGAACGTTTTCTTCATTTTCAAAACTTTCTAAGCCGGGGTTCCTGGATAGTGCAGCTGCTTCTACGTTGTCTTTTCCCGGCGAGTAGATGACTTTGAAATCATACTGCGATAGGTAGTGCATTAGGTCTCCTAAAGTTTCATCGGTTCTTGCTTTAATTCTCATTGACTCTAACGGTTTATGGTCTGAGAGCAGTGAAATATCTATTGATTAATCAATGTTTCCAGTAAATCGCCTCTTTAATAGCCAGACATTCGAGGTGGATTGCTCTTTTCTTTGCCTCTGTTGGTTTTAATTTTCTTGAAAAGAACGCAACCGGATGTAACGTCCCGTTGTCTCGAGGTTGCTTTAAGACAGCTCCTAAACCGTTTCCACTTGCATCTGTATAAATGAATACTTCTTTGTTTTGATCGTATATTGAAAGAATTGGACTTGAACAGAGGTATTCTTTAATCTTTTGAAATGATTTTTCACATTCTTCGTTCCAAATAAATTCTACATTTTTCCTTAATAAATTGTGGCGTGGTTCCAAGAATTTTTCACGCGTCTTCTATAAATTTGTAATAAAAACTAATTTTTCCTAGTAGTTGTCTCACGTTTTTCTTGTTTCTTGGGCGTTCAAATTCCCGTATCGCTTTGAAGTTATCTCTCCCTGGTCACACACCGTCTTTTTCGATGATATGATCCAGATATTTTACTGACTTTTCTGCTAGCCTACATTTTACCAGTTTTAATCGGAAACCTTCTTGGTTTATAACCTTCATTAACTGCTCTATATATTTGATATGTTGGTCGAATGTTTTCGAGAAAACTAGGATGCGGTCAATATAGTTTATGCAGAATTCTGTTAGGCCATTTCTTCTAAGAATATTTGCAAGCACTCGTTAGAAATTAGCAGGAGAGATTTTTAACGGTAAACATTTCCATTGCCAGTGCCCATTTTGTATTATGAAGGCTGTCTTCTCTCGGTCCTCTTTTTTTATTGGAATTGGCCGGAACGCTGAATTAATGTCAAATGTTGAGAAGAAATGGCAATTTCCCGCTTTGACTATGATGTCTTCTATTCTTGGGAATGGTTGTGATTCCGGAACTACACTATTGTTTATCTCCCGGAAATCGATACACAGTCTATCTCTCCGATTCGATTCTTTTTTAAAAGCCAGTGTCACTGGTGCTGCAAATGGTGAACTTGATTCCTCTATGAGATCGTGTTCTAGTAATTTTGTGATTTGAAACTTTATTTCTTTCTGATCTGGGATGGAATACCTGTATGGTTTTCCTGATATGTACCTGTTTTCGGTTAGCTTTATGGAGGCCTCTTGTAATTTTCTCGTTCCCACATCGAATTTGTGTTTGGCAAATACTTCTTTGTATTTCTCTATAAGTTAAAATACCGCTCTCTTTTGTGAGTTATTTAAGTGTCCAAGGTTGTCTATAAATTTGTCCGTCTCCATGTCTTCGGTAATGTTTATCTCTTTTTTCTTCTGATTATTCTTTGTCACTTACTTTTTGAGTGACTCTCTAGTTCTCATCTTGTTTTAATTTGAATTTCTTTATGACGTCTAGCCCTAGGATAAGGTCATATGCAAAATTATCATTGCGTACTATATAAACGTCTATTTCTTTTTCTATTTTATTTATTCTTATTTTTAGTCTCGCCCGGCTGTTCGTGAAGTCCTTTCCACTGATAGTTTTGAACATACTATTATTTTCTGTTATATCTGCTGTTATTTGATCAATAATCTTTTGATTAACAAAGCTTGCATTGGCTCCAGTGTCGTAGATACCTGGGCCAACGTCCATGCCGCGCTGAGTGCACTCGTTCCCGTTTTGCGACCCAGTTTTCAGGACAGTAAAAACAAATAAAAACAAAATCACATAGAAGCTTCGCGCCTCCAGCGGCTTAAACCAAAAAATTATATTAAACACGAAAAATGTAAAGCGCCGACACATATTATAGCATGGCTACGTCGTACCGTTGCGTATCGGTACCTTTGCCTAAGATATCATTACATAAGTTCACCGTTTATTGTGAATACCAAAATGTATTTAAAATTGTATCTTGGGTTTAATAAACATCTTTAAAAAAAGCACTCGTTCCCGTCAGATCACGAAAGTTAAGCAGTGCCGGGCACGGATAGTACTTGGATGGGTGATCTCCTGGGAACTCCGTGTGGCGTTGGCGAAGCGCGCTGGGCCGGGTCCGCCGCGCCCCCCGGTGGGATTCGGGCTTGGACGCTGGCGGCTCAGCGCCTCTGGGCCACCAAGCAGTCCGGTAGGGAACCGGGCTGCCTGTCACAGCGGTTCCCGCGACGAGGCGCAGTGTGACATGGCCGCACATGCTCCATCAGCGGTGATATTGAGCGCGGGGAGGGGGGGGGCGGTCCCCGGGCCTCTCTCGATCGCAGCCCGGACGGTCCATCGTGGAGGTTTTAGTCGGTTGGAGTGCGACACTACCACGCCGCTTTCCCCAGACGCGGCCTGGCGTCCGTGCGGATTTCCTTCACGTAAATATAAAAAAAAGTATCATAAACACCTTCAACCTCTTTTTGATCATTGATTTTAACTCGCAGTTTTATCAGTGGTTCGTACTTCTCCGGGCATTTTAGTTTTTTTCATTCTCATCTGGTGTTCTTGCTTTTTCATTTTCTGAGGTAAATAGTTCTAGTGAATTTATTTGTTTGGGTTTCTTCTGAGCGTTTCTGTTTCTATTTCTACATAATTATATTAAGTGGAATCGACCCGGGAAGTTCAGTGCTTCACAGACAGTGCACGGTCGTTTCTTGGATGGTGGATTTGCATTTTTGTCCAGGTTTATCTTTTTTTCTTATGTTTCTTTCCTTTTTCTCTGATCTTTGTATTGTCCCAAAATTCCCATTAGGTCATTTGTTGATTGTACAATTTCTCTCTCGATTTTATCTTGGATGTCGATAGGTAATCCAATGACAATCAAATGTATCCTCACGTCTTCAGTCATTTTCCTCTTTACTGCCTACATTAATCGTTCTTTCTCTAAGGCATACTCAATGAACGAACTTGAAAGGTATTTGAAGTTGTAAGCGTATCGTATTGCAGACCAACCTTTATTGTTAAAAGTTTTGAGAAATGCGTCTTTCCAATCTTCCCAGTTGTATCCTTCAGCCTTCAGCAGATTTGTTTGGTACCATTTTGCTGCTGTTTTCTCTAAATACTTTTTTAAACCTTTGACTTTCTCCTCATCACTTTTGATTTTATATCTTCTGCATTCCTCTTCATACTCTGATATCCAGTCTTTGGCTTTTTGAGTTCCGTCAAATTGTTTTATGCTAAAGTCTATTTCTTCTATTTCACGTTTATCTCGTTTTTAGAGAGTCTCTAGAAGTCTTTCCATGTCCAAACTGGACTTCTCGATTTCCGTCTTTATTTTCCATGTGGGGGTAATTTTTGCTTCCTCTAGGAAAATGTCTCGGAATACGAAGTCTAAATCCGTATCGATATATAACGCTGCCATCTCGTCATCCATCGTGAGTTTAACGTTTCTATACTGGCCTACCTTGGTTAGATTGTTTGCGGCCTTCTTCACTGTTGGTGAACACAGTGGATTCAACCTAATTTCCCTTACATTGTCCGATTTCAATTTCTCTAACATTTCTCTTTACTCGTGCCGTTAATTCCCTTCATCATGCTTTCCATATTGAGTAGAAGGAACTCCAGGCTCTTCATAAGTCCCGCGGTATCCATTACTTCAGGCGTCCATCCTCCTCCTTCATCCGCGGATGATGAATGTTGGTTCTTCCACCGATTCTTTTCCTGTTCAATACTATCTTCCCCTCCTCCTTTAGTCCTGTCAGTTCTTATTTGTATCCGGAGTCAGATTGTTACCCTGGTCCATCAACTCCGCTTGGAAGTCAGCATCCATTTCGCTATCTTGTCCTGCTACCTAACTCTCTTCTTATCGGACCTTTCTCTCCTTGCTTTTGGTCCCCGGTCGTTTTTACCGCACGAGAGGTTGCCCTGGAACCGACCATTCTCTCGTCGTTCCTCAGTCGTTTGATGACCGTCGATGCAGGCCTGGGGTGGCACCACGCACAACATCGACGGGGTTTAGGGGCTCCGAAATCCCCGAGCCTCAATTTTTTTCTTTCCAGTTAGCCTGTTCATATTAATTATCAAAATAGAGTAGTCCGGGGGTATAGACAAGTTCGACATAAATCCATTCCTCCTTTTCCGTTTCCATTTCCGTTGCCAAGGTCGTCATAATCGTATACCAAATATATCTAATGAAAGGACTATTTTCCAATTTCGGGGCAAGCGGTTCCATCACGTTAAGTTCATCGCGCGGTTTTACCATATTTCTTTGCCACTTTGATCTTCATCTTTTGAAAAGTTGTTACGTTTTTGTTTGATTTGTTTTGGTTGTGTTGTCGTTAATTTTTGAATTTAGATTAAATGGTAGCGTTGTCTGATGTTTAATGCGATTGGCAATTAAACTCCACGTTTCGGCTAACCTGCTACGAGCAGGAGTACTGGCACTGGAGAGGATCAAAGTTGGTGAAAATAAATGTTCGCTTAATCCTATTATATTATTAGACAAATATTTTCCACAACAAATATTTATTCTAATTCTAATTGGGTATTGACAGAATTGTCGTTGAGATTTCGAATACTCCAAGTTACAATCGTTCGCGATACCTTTTAACTCTTATTAATTACAAGATTTTAATTTATTTGACTTTCAATAATTTACAAATTGACAAATACAAACACGTCGATTAACAAAACTGACAACAACTGGGAACTAATGAAACAAAAAACTAAAAGCTAAAGAACTAAAGGACTAAAGAACTTAAGAACTAAGAGCAAAAAACTAAGAGCTAAAGTAACTAAGAGCTGAAAAACTAAGGAACTAAAGAATTGAAAGGCAAAGGAACTGAGAAATTAAGAGCTAAAGGAATTGAGAACTAATCGCTATGAACAAAGAAATAACTTGCCAAGAATACTCTGAACTAAAGATCTACTTATCTCTCTATCTTCTATGTCGCTACGCTTATTTATAATTAGGTCTACCGTGGAGGGGTCGTCATGTGACGGGTTGTGAGGCTCGAATTTGGTTTCTATACAAATTGTTAAATTTTATTTGAATCTCAAATTGAAACGCTCACTCACGCTATTGGTAGTTTTAGTCTACGTTACGGCTCGTACGCAGCGCAAGACGTGACATAAGTAATATAACAAAAACAGTTATTATACCAAATAGGAATGGTGCTGAGTAGATAATCATATTGTTCAGTTTTACTACTTCGGGTATATCTTGTTGAGCGTTATTTTTTCTACAAAATAATGCGCATTGAAAGGGAACTCATGATTTCTTCTTTAATAAAAGTAGGACAGGGGAGGGAACAACAAAATGACAGATATTGAGAACGCACAATAGACAAGAGTTCGTATAGCATAAAATATATCGTGCAGGTGCAAGGAAACAATGAACAAGAATAGAAAGATTGGAAAATCAAAAAAAAGTGTCACTTTCTATCACCCAGAAATAATGTAGAAAAATACAGCAGTTTCGTCAGCAGCAGTAAATAATCATGCAGCCTTAAAATGAGACACAACGAAACCACAAAACAAAACGACATAGTACGCGGAGAAGAATTTATAATTAAAGAAATGAATGAAGCAAAACTGTCACAGCGCCACAAACTGCTGACACAATGAAGAGATATGTAAAATGACCAAATTGAACAAAGAAAACAACATTACAAGCAGCGAACATAATAATAATAGAGTAAAACATGTCATTAAGTGTAAAACTCAACAGCAAGAACAAAGGTAGCAACACTGTGGGAAGCCAACTATTACAAAAATTAAATGCAATGGTAAAAAGTTATTAGAATTACTGTAAGAAAAGAAATCTAAAGTCCATACATCACGAAAACTCGTCATACGTATCGGAGTCCGTAAATAGTATCGTCATGGATGATAAGGGAAACAAAAGAAATAACGAAGTATGAACAAACCCACCAATGACGAAGAAAAAGAAAATAACGAATTTTCTGGTAAATCTAACGGTGAACGTGCACAAATCAGGGTCAAAAAAGAATCCATTGCTATGCACGCAACGTATACACCAACGAACATCGCATCAGATAGCCCGTACTATTTATCACAAAATATTTACTAAAATATAATAATACACAATAATTCGCAAATAGAACTAAAACAGGAAAACATGTAACCAGCTTATTAAACGAACCGTTCCGTTCGCGAAGAACAAACAAATTTGAAAAGCAACTTCAAAATCAAAGAAGTGGTCGAAACAGTGCGGGCGAGTCAATTTGTAGAATTAAATTTTTTAATCTAGGAAATTCGCTAATGGTCGATCCGAACAAGAAAGACGGAACCGCTCCATATTCATGGTTCAATTGTTGGCGGTCAACGACATTAATAAACTAAAAGAAATAAAGATTTTACTACATACATGTATTAGCTGCGAGAAAATTATAAAGATGGGCCGTATTTGATGCAAATGATTGAGGTGGTAGGACGTGTAGGGTGCTAAAGAAATACTCGGTGATTTATTTAACACTGAGTTTTCAACTCGACTAGCGGCCTCTTTACAACTCTGGACTCGTGACTCGTGCGGACGACTATTTATTCACAACTCTTCACTTACGA